ACTGTTCGTCACTGTACTTCTGACCGCTTTCCTCATTCCACACCTCTTTTCTGAACGGTTTTTTCTGGGAAGAAAGAAAAAAAAGGATAAAGCATTTGCCGTTGATCAATCCCGTTTTTGGGATGCGGCACGCATTCTACTTCCATTTGTACATTCGCAGTGGCATTTGAATGCGATGTGGCCTATACAATGACTTGCGGGGGCCAGCCGATGTTCAAGTCAGTGTTTTATCCTCCCAGACAAGTCTGGTACCAATTAACCGACCCCGGAGGGATGGAAGGCTTGGTTGGCCCGGGCGACTCACGACCCAGGATTTGATCCCCGGACCGCTCGCGTGGTGAGCGTGCCACTTGCACTACACCACTTCCGCCCTTTTTTATGCTGGTTTCTGGGAAACAGCAGAATTCTGACAAAATCTCAGAGAAATCTTAGAGGTTGCAGCGAATTTAGCTTGCTTAAGCGGTCATCTCCCTCATTGAAGGGCATGAAATGAAGGGCAGGAGCGCGAAGGATTCGTGATTAGCTTGGAAGGAAGCATCGCCTCCAAAGTCTGACGGAGGGAGACGAAGAAAAAATGAATCCTTGAGACACGAACGTCTAAGGCATTTATGCACAAGAAAACAACGTCTAAAGGTGTGATAAACACTTGAGCGTCAGGATAAATCATTAGAAAATAAATCTCCATCCCCTGGACAGACACTGAGACCGGAAAGGGTAATATAGCAAGCCCCTCCCTTTTAGTAGAAGGGGCTCACCGATCAAGAAATATTCCAGCGCTGGATCCTGACCGTCAACATCATTTTCCAATTACAATATTTTCTTCTTCTCACCTTTGAGCTATGGTTGCTAGGTTGTTAGTATTCAATTTTACCATTATGAATGACATCGTGTTGCTTATTGGCAAATTTTGACGCTTTTATATCTTTTTTCTTCGTGATGAATCAGCGGCTCTCTATTCAACCGTTCCTTCACTTTAACCTTTTTTTTCCATTTCTAGTTCTCGAGTATCTTATTACTATTCTCACAACGAATCTGTTCACGGAAATTGTTCGTTCTATGTACCGCCATACCTTGCATCAATCAATTCGCTTGAGATGATCGCGATTCTAAGAACCATAACCGACGTCCTCCCTTTCAGTTGGAAACAACGAACGCCTGGCCGCGTTCAAGTGCCCTTTTTAGGCCAGCTGGAAAATTACCTTGATTCAAATACCGTACATACTTGCAAAGACTGATGGAGAACGTGTTCGGCGCCATGGAACGACGGCTTAGTCACGTCTTTGGAAAAATAACCGCCTCTTAAAAAACAAAAAAATAAAAAAAATAAAAACATAAAAAAAAAAAAAAAACCAGGGCAACTCTGGTTTACAAGCGTCCAAAAATAGCCATTCAATCCCCCTTCACTGTTCCATTCCATGTTGCGCTAAAATGACATGGCCCGCATCTTTGTGGAGTAGATTTCAGAACATCTCATTCGTCCTTCTATGACCATCTTCCTTCTCCAGAACCTTAAAACCGCCCGCTGGTCTTTACAGACCATCTGGGCTTGTTTTTTCCAGCAATAACTTTATCTTTTTTTCCTCCACTGCATCCTTCCCTACAAAATATAAACCTTCAGCAGAATATAGGCAGCAAAAATACTTGGTCCCGCTACTTCTGTTCATTTTTTTTTGCTCTCCTACAAATGCGAGTGGATCTTGTAGGCTTTGAACCCACACATCTACGTCTGCTGTCATCCTTGGACCTCTACCAATGAAGCCCCCTGGTACCTTTGCGGTTACCCTTTTTTGTCCCCACTAGAAGCATTGCTTAAGGCTGGTCCGTAATACGCCCACCTCAATCGGAAATGAGCCGATTGAGGACGCAAGGGCACAACAGAAGCAGTATCGTAGTTGTGATCATCAAAAAAGGCGTTAGCAGAGGGTCTTAAGAGGTGAAGGTGTGGCCAGGAATGGGAGCATTGGTTGCAAAAAACTCATCACCTACAATCAATCATAGTTCACCTTTCGAAGGCATCACAGCAATTGTGTCCGATCAGGCCATGGCGCTTCTTAGCGTTCATTTCAATCACCTGCCCTTGCCTTTTCCGTCCGTTCTGCCTCCTGCGACTTCGTTGTTGCACTTTCATGACCGTAATCTCATCGCCGTATTGTGAAAATTTCTTCACCTCCGCGTCGTAATTTGAAATATTTATATTATCTAATCGATTAGCAAAATTTTCTTTCAGTGGTCTAGTGAGAAGGCGAAACGGCGATGAGGATACTACGCAGCATATCCCTGCTTTTCGTCGTACATTTTATAGGTAAATTTCAATTTTCTTAGGATTATTTTTAATTCTAATGGAAATCCTTTTTATTTTTGTAGCATAAGTAGACGCAGAGAAAAAGGATAACCTAGAAATAAAGGAACGTAGAAAAAAAGAAAAGCATTTCAGGAATCTTTTGATGTTAATCGATAGAGAGGTCTCAGTAATCATCTCCTAAAGAGCGAAACTGCCGCTCTAGGAAAAATTATTACTGGATGAATTCGGAGTGTGAAAAAAAAGACGTTTTCCAGGAGTCAGTTGTCAAGATGAAACTGTGTCCGACGTTTTCGACGTTCCACCACCAACTATGGAAAGTCGTGACGTCATAGGCCCGTCTGACTTTCTTGGACGAACCGAGGAAATCAACGAAGGGTCCGTTTGAGTTTTTTTTTTTTTTCTTTTTATTTTGACTTATCTCAATGTTACCCGATTCAGCTTTAAGTATGTCGAAGCTATTATGTTGATCAAAATTCATGAGTTAATCTATCTCAATCATTTCATACTCACATATATATCGTCTTAAAATTGAAGTTCCATCCACTGTCAAACTAACTTGAGATTTGTTTCCAGAGGTAGCTTGACCCACGAAGCACTAATAATGCATTCGTAGGCCAGGAAAACATAGCTGGTGGGCTATTTGTGAAGACGGTGGTGATTAATGGAAGCAATGAATCAACGTTCATACGTGAATTGAGAAGAATTTAGATGGTTCATTCTCACCTCCAGGCAATCCACCCATCCATATTTTATTAGCTCCAAGTCTTTGTTAAGTAAACCGGTCTATTCCAGTTAGGAGTGGGGCATTATGATGCAGTTTCTTGGCGAACTAGTGTGAACTCGAACATTCCAGCTTGTCACGCATGTCAAGTAAGTGTCATGTATGTGCCCTCACCCCCCTCCCCCCCCCCCCAGTCGAGCCAGGGAGGGGGGTATTCGTAAACTGGTTACACACCCCTGGCCCGGAGTTACCCTAGCTTTCTGCAAAAACTGCATTATGTCCCCCCTAATTGGAACAGACCCGGCGAAGCTCTTAACTCCAAAGCTACATATAATTGCGCACAACATTTTGATAATGGGACTAAAATGCTCAAATCCCCCTATGACAAAGTTTTTATAGTAACTTCGTATAGCATACATTATACGTGGCCTAATGGCGCTGCTGATCATGGCGTTTTAAGGTTCAGTGGTGCAAATTTTCTCATCGTGCCGCCCATCTAAGCCCTCCATCGTCCCGGGTTCGCTTATTGCACCAGAAGTTTTTTAAGGGGAACAGCTGTGACTTGTATACTCCCTTTCAAAAACGAGAAGAGCGTCGGGTGCAGACCATACACGAGAAGAAATGACGACGGCACGAAATGTAAAAGCTTTCCGCCAATGGAAGCCTGTTGCAGTTGTATTCTATCACGCCTAACAACCCATTTTCCAAAAATCAGTTAAACTGCTCATCATAAACCACTATGAACGGTTTTTCTTGGAGGCCGTCGTCAATTGTGGTGCATGGTCTTTGACGACGCGTGTTCTTGTTTCTGAGAGGGGACGGTTACATTGATAAGGCCTCGTTACTCACTGTCCTAGGCCATTATCCATTCAAACATGTCACTACGTGCTGAATCGAAAGTTAAGATATTGAGATGAAACATTCCCATAAAGAAAGGATCGAACGTGTAGCTTAGTGTGCCTACCTTTTTTATTATCTTTTTTATTATGGTCCCAATTCCCACCTAAAAAGTGGGGCAGTCATGGAGAAGTGGAGCCGAGAATCTAATCACAAGTTTTTTTTACAGCTCCGACAGTTTCGCGATAAGTACGGCGATGGTAGAACCGCTTACTGAACCGACAGCTGTTACAACAACGAAACCAGATGTGAGAATCAATTTTCGTAGAAAAAAGAAAATTCAAATGCCTTGAACAGCATCCTAGCGCGTTACAGAGTCATGCGAAAGTTCTGTAATGGGCACCGGTTAACCATTTCTTGCATATACCTGCTAGTAACAAGAGAAGTGGTTAACCGATCAATACGATCATTTCCAGATGCATGGATTTTGGTAGTAGTATTTTGGTTGTGGTTTGTGCGCCTCGAGACCCTGAATTCACGATCAGATTAGTTTCCGAAATCTGCGGAGCGATTTTCTGAAGGAACTCAAGAACCACGCTGAGGTCAAAGGTCGGCGAGAAGCGAAAATTACCTGGTGAGAGGCGGCGGACACCCTAAAGCAGGGTGCAACCGTCACGTGACAAATTTCCGGAAAATTTTCCCCTTCTCTTGAGGTGCCCATCGATTACGATCCTACAAGGTCAACCCTTACCATTGGTACTTTTCGGAAATTTTTCACGAACCCCCTCCCCTTTCCATCACCATGAGACTCAGTAGGTCCACCAACAACCACCACTACCCTTACCATAGAGCTCTTACTATAGTACTTGATTCTGAGACCAGTTGACACAGCCTAACCTAACTCCACCCGAATTTCCACCAAAATAATTGTCGAGCGGAGGAGGGGGGGGAGGGGGGAAGAGGCGTATGCCCAACGACAATCGCCTTTTCGCTCGGTTCGTTGGACTTTGCCTCAAATGGAGGTTGACCCTGCTTAAAGCTCGCGAACCAATACAAATCGCAGCAAGAAAGTTATGCTTCTTGGACGGTCGCCCTTGCACGCCCACCGACTGCCGACAACGACTCGCTGCAGGTCTCGAAGCCGTTTAGGAGAGATAGTGTTAATGTTAAAGGGGGCAGCACCGATGAGAGCTGCATCGATGCGGAAACCAATGGGCGAGGAAGGCTTCCGATTTCTCGGGTCCTGGGCCATTGTTCTGGTTTGACTGAGCTCACAGAAAAAAGTTATTACGCTTGGCATTCTTGCTTCTCAGACGCTACAAAGACCTTTATCATCATCAACTCATAAGCGCTTGCCTGTGTTCAATGTCCCTAAGCGGTCTTTGCATAGCCCTGGAGCCCTTGTTGCTTCCCCTAGAGTTGGAGAACGGATTTCTGCCACCTTATCGAACAGCTCTATTCTAGTCTATGCTTTCTATTCTCAAGGGCCTAGGCCATTCGAATTCTGAAGTCTTATTCGTACAAGTACAAGATAGTGATATCGAGATGACAGTACAGCGACTGTTAAAGCGCCTGCATGCTTGCTTCGCATGCAGTTTGTCCTTTGGTTCTTACCGTATGTTTACGGTGGAGTTCTTTCATTGTCTGTCGCTCTTGTTTACAAATTCCGTACTGGAAACACTCTGCCCTAGCGCATGTCGACAATCTTTTATGGCAGGTCGTTATAGATCGGTCGTCAGCGATTCATGAGCGAGTTTTCAGGCTGTGAAAGAAATTTTAAAGTGAACAACCCATTGATTTGACGAAACGGGAGTTTCAGGGGGGTGGGCAAAGACTTCGTTTACTGTCCTTGGTGGAAACATTGCGGTGGGCAGCCTTAGGGATTACATGCGGGACTACAATCCCCCCTCCGTGAATGGGAACGCATATAACCTCATCCGGCTTTCCCTGAATGGATTGTCCTCGAATAACCTATCTTCCACTTCCCAACTGGAAGTCATTGACCGAGGAGGGTCATAGTGCTGAAAACCCCAAAACTTGCCACAATTTTCAGAATTTTCCTATAACTGATATAAAAAACTTCGTACATCAAAAATAACGCTTTTTTTTCTTCTTCATCAGAAAATAAAATGACAGTTTCAACTATTGCAACCCTACCCCTACCCGTGGTAGACTGTGCATTGTGGCAGTTCACCTATGAAAACAGCTCTTCCGGTTTCTGCCACACATTACATTACAAGTTAGCATGACTGAAAGGTTTTGGAATCAAAATTCTTCAAGGAATTGGTGCGCTGGCCAATTATCGCCATTTTTTATCCGATCAAAAAAACGGAACAAAAAAGGTAGGTTCAAGGGGTCAAGGAATGAGTGAAGTTGAGTTTCTCGCGGCCTAACGAAGAGTCACGAGAACTCCAGGACCTGTCCAACAAGTCCAAAGAGGTTGGATTCTTAGCAAAGCCACTTAATGCCTGGAAAGGAGAAATCGGCGACAGCTGTAGCTGACCCTAAATTTTGTCAGAGGTACAAACCATGCTGCTTCCCTTCTAACTCCCCCTTCTCACCAGCCCACGTCTACCAACACCACTTTTGCGAGGAGTGTTTGGAGCAGGAGAAGAGGAGATGTTGGACATGCCAGAAATGGACTACCAGGCCGCTAAGGCATAATCTCCGCAGCAAAATACGGATCGCCCCACGCCTTAGGCTGGATTTTTGACTAACGATAAGTAGATTTCACTTCGACCTCAACGTGGAATCTCCTCTGAGCTACGTATTTTATCTAGAGAGGCATAATAAGCAACAAAAATCGATTGCTCTTGTTTGTTTGTTGAGTTGGGACAAAACAGTTTCATTTGATATGTACTTGGGAGCCAAGACGTTTCAGAAGCTGTTGTTTTTCAGTTACGAACGGAGGAACCACTCTTGCTCACGACGCGAGCTGACAAAAACACTAGTAAGTTCCACCATCTAGTAAAAATTTTGGGGGAAAATTCTGGAAAAAAGAACTTCAAATGGCTATGTGGATTTGGGCCTATTTTGTGAAAAAAAAAAACACAACAGCAACTCTGGGCTATGAGTCTGAGGCCTGCTTACGCTTTGCGGAGGAATGTTTTGCACGCGTCGTTTTAAGGGCCGACTTCCACCACCGATGTACACAGATGCCTTTACTATTTTGGAGTCTAGACTCCTTTTCGTCCCTGGCAACGGGGAGAAGCGAAGTTTGATATCCATGTATGATACTCATCCAACGTTGAGCCCTAGAGATTCATCTAAACTCCTAATCTTTCTAGAGTTCTACGCTGGGTTATTCAGAGTGAACCCTTTCTGTCTTAGAAGCAGCGATTACGAAATGATCTCAAAGGGGTTCAGAGGGGACGTGAGGGTCTCAATAGTACGCCAATGGCGAAAAAAGCAAAGAAATCCGTCAAAAATAAGCAAAATAGTACCCCTTTGATTGCCCTTTCATTTTCGACCATGGATGAGCGACGGTAAAGAACGACGTTGTTCGGACGTGTTAACCCCGATAGCCGCCATCATGCCAACAAGCATAGTGTTTTGATTGATAAGGCAATACATGGGCAAGTTGGAAGATACAGCCGATAAAGGGAAACGATCTTCCAAAATGAAAAGCCAACAGCAAACAGCTCGCCCACGTCATCATCTGAACAAGTGGGCGTAACGCTGCTGGGGGCGGAGTGCTGCGGAGGTCCTGCTCAGCAACCACAGCACCTTCGCTTCTTCAAGGAATCTTCCGCGGAAAAAGCTCCGCCTCCATTACCACAGAAAAACGATACCCTTAGGCCCCTAGCCTCATGAGCATAGCAAAAAGAACGGAACATAAGCGTTAGTTTCGATAATACTAATCCTACACACAAACAAAATGATCACTCTTCCGTGGAAGATTCCTTAAGGTATCGTTTTCAGTGGTAGTGGGGGCGGAGCCTTTTCCGTGGAGGATTCTTCAAAGGGAGAGAGAAACCGATTTCCAGCAGGCAGGTCCGATAAGTCAAGACTGAAATTTTATCAGAAGGTGCTGCCACTAACTTGTGGAGACCGTACTTATGAAACACCACCTTGTGCTTGCAATTTTTTCGCATTCACGACGTATAGCTTTCACAGTTGGGAAGGAAAAGCTTAGATCGCGAAGAAAGGTCCGCGCCGACTAACGGAAGGATAATGGTACGCGGACACAGTCTACATAAAACTATAAAGCCACAGTTGCAACTCCTTCGATAACAAAAATGTCTTCGCATCAATAACCTCGGTCAACCAAGCGGGCCTCCCCACGCATAAATATATAAATGCTGTGAAACGGGGAAATTTTCGGATGAAAAATGTGGCACTGTTTGCCTTTTGCCTTTGCCCAAATTCGGAAATTGAGCCAAAAGTTCTATCGAAAAGTTCCGTGACTTTGGATTGGATGGCAAGATGCGGTCCGAGGTTATTTGACCCCTAGAACCGAACACCACATTTGTTTGGCGCGAATACGCCTAGGGTCCGCGCCGCAGTGCCAGCGCAAGACGCTAGACCACTGCGGAAGCCTTGTCGTCTGAGAATGGTTACATTCATGTGATATGAATATCGTTGCGAGTAAGCCTGTAGCCCACGCTACGGCCCCGGGGCAAAGCTGATGGCGCCGATACAAGAAGTTTTCGCTCTAAACCGATGTGGTATTCGTGTTCCACGAGTTGAATTATCCCTAGGCAACTTAGTGGCGCTACCACAATATACGGGGGTAGCAATGCATTCAAAATTGCGAAAAACATGCCCTTTTCGCTGAAAACGAACGAAACCACGGACATGGTGAGAGAGACTCAGGGTGCGTGGGCAATTGTTATTTTTTTCCGCAGATCCTGCCCTTCCCTAGACTTGGTCCTAGAGGATGCCTCCTTTTATTGCGATAGCGCTTCAATTTACACAGCCAAATTCACAGTCATGGACAGATTTCTATTGAAATTCGGCTCACTTTTTGAGTAGTGGGCAAATAATGCCAATGGTATTGTCTCCTAGGGGATGTTTTTGAATGGTTTTCTTTGCAGCCGCCATTCCGACAGCAATTGTTCCGTCAAGTCACGAACACTCGCAGCCGCTCCCTGAAGAGGTGAATTTCTTGTTAGATGTTATTTTCGGAAACAATCTTGCATTGAGGAAAGGAAAGAAAGGAGAAGAAAAGAGCGAAAAGAGAGGAGAGGAGAGAAAACAAAAAAGAAAAAAATGTTATAAAGTGATTTCCTCTCAAAAAAGCTCATAATCTGAAAGGATAATGAAGAAGTCATGGGCCAAATATCGGCCGATTTCAACAACTTATTCAAATATGTAGTCGCGGTCATTTTGTGAGCCACAATTTAATACCTTCTCCAGCCGACACTACAATATTGTAGAATCCCTGATTTCAGCGGAGTTGAATAGGCTGTCGGACAGTTTCCATGAACACGCGTTGCAACCGCGCACGTGCTTTTCTTTTTTTATGCGAGCACATTTAATTTTTTATTGGAGGTCTCCTGATCTAACTTTTTCTCCGTGAGTTAAAAAGGAGTGTGTCGAACTTGCGGAATTCATAAATCCGCCTAAGTCTTTATTCATTAGTCGTGATCTTTCACCAGCCTAGAAACTAACGGAAGACGGGTTCGCATAAGGGAACGGTGAGCGCCCCACTTTTCCTTTTTAATGCTTTTTCTGCTAATTTTCTCTCTGAATTGGGTCTCGCCGAATGAATAACCCTCAAATTATAGCAGCAGCACACGTCGTGTGTCAGCTCAGTACCAAGTACCATGACGCTGCCGCTGCTACTGTGATTGAGGGTCATTCATTCCTTCTTTATTTGAAGGCAAGCCTCGAGAGAAGGTCCACTAGGAGGAACCAAACTTGAAGCGAACTTGTTGGAACGGTTCTTACGGGCGTCCTGTCAGCTTCCTCGCCCAGAATGTGAGGCTAGGGCGCTGATCGTTAAGGACTTGCAACCATCGCAGCTCTCCTCACCAACCGCTTGATATGGAGATCAGACTGCTCTCTCTAGTTTCAGGGGCTTGGCCCCTATTTTTAGCGTTTTGAGTGATTAGGCGTGCTTTTTTGCACTTTTACGTCATTCCGCGGCTCTACCATCACTATGAAGCGCTCCTATGCTCTAGTTTTGGACGGGCTTGCCTTTGAGTACTGCCTATGAAGAACCCAACCCTCGTAACACCATTTGGAACAAGTTTTTCTTTTCTCGCTTATTTTTTACTAATAGATTTAGTCCAGAAACAAAAGAAAAAACGATTAAGTGGGAGAAAAAAGCGAAAGCTGGGCCAACAAATGAATTGCTACTTGCAGGCGGTTGCTGCTGATCCGTTCAGTATGGACGAGGAGCCCTCGACAGAACAGACACCAGGAATGCCCGTGGTAAGAGAGAACAAAATCGCTTTATTTTTCTGTTCACACCCCGAAACGGCGCTTTTCGTTTTATCCTTACGGTCTTTTTGAAGTGACTTGAAACTGAAGACAGCACAAGTTGAGTCCGATAGGTGAAAAGGTTTGGAAATGTACCCCCTCTTCAGACAGCGGGTTATCTCATGATGTCATTGGCACATGTTGATGTATTTTCAGCACAGAAAAGCTACTGTATTTTTCAGATCGTTCCAGTAGTGCCTGTCATTCCGTCCACTAATGATAGCATTGTCACACTGCTTGAGCCACACAACGACTCAATGTCGACGACGGAGGCACCTGAAGAAACGGACGTAACGACAATGTTTGGCCCACATGTGCCTGTCGTTCAGACACTTGAAGGGCGAGTACTGAAGGAGAAAGAAGAGGTAGGAATGGCTTCTACTTTCGAATAGGCTCGAAATGATTGGGTGAGCACCGGTCGACATTAAAAAATGCTTCTCTAAGTGAAAGTGTCATTACCTGCTCTGCTGCCACTTCTAGATGGAAGGTATCCCGCCACGATTGGGCTGCTATCGCGGCTCTTTTAATAAAGCACACTGCAAAGGGATCTATTTTTCAAAAAAGTTTCTTGCATACATGGTAGGGAAGCATCTTGGACAACAAAACCATGTTTCCTTTTGGCCGGCTATTCCAGTTAGGGGGCATCATGATGCAGTTTCTCGGCGAGCTAATGTAAACTCGAACATTCCAGCTTCTCACGCATGTCAAGTGACTGCCCTCACCCCCCACCCCCCTAGGCTGGCTACACTCCCCCTGGCTCAGAGTTACCGTAGCTTTTTGGGAGTCACCGCACCATGATGCCCCCCTAACTGGAATAGACCCTTCCTTTCTACTTAACGGTTCCAGTACCCAAAAAGTGGTGAATGATACTCTTGATGGTTCAATCCCGCGTGGCGACCAAATTTTGCAATCATTGCTGGCGGCCACTTGTTCGCTTCAAAATGGTCCTGACTATGATTTTGACATTTAGCGTTGATATTTAGCGCAATTGCAAAATATTATTCGCCACGGAGGAATCGAACAGTAATATTTTCTTACGCTAGGTTTTTTTGTACTGCTCAAACACCGTTTCAACGGAAATGGAAACACGGTCCTGTGCTCTCTAAATGGTTCACCTACAAGACCGGGACTCGGTTTTGAAAAAGCGGGACTTGCTCTAAAAGACCTCCCTCGTAAGCTTATAGGAGCTGGAAATGCAGCGTTCTTGCAGTGAAAACTTCTTTGACGGTGGTGAAATCACCCTCTGCCTGACCCTGACTACGATCCCAAACTGAGCTCCCCTTATTTATATTATTTTATTTGTAAGTCAATCATAATAGAGAGAAATCATGGATAAATGACCCCGGGATGGCACTAGATTGATTAACTCAAAGTTCAATCTAGTGTTGTGGTTAAGAAGAAAAGCCAAGTGTTGACCCAGTACGCGTGAACCGAAAGGTGGTAAGGAAAGTGCACAGCTTACCCATTAGCGATTTGGCTACAGTGAATTTTCCGTGGTATGCAGTGTCGGGCTAGTTGGGTAGCATGACGCCAACCACTACGCCTGAAGTAGATCATGCCCACTATAAGCATCACAACCAGGATCAACCATGACGTTCGCACTTTTTCAAATTTCGCGATGCCCTTCCTTTAGGGGGATCCCAATGCGACCCCCACCACCACATGCGACTTCAGAGGCTCGTCACACACGACCCACCACTGCCTACCCTACCATCACCCTCGCTTCGACATCATGGCTCCAAAGGCATCGCGGGGGGAGGGTAGGGGGGGGGTATACTGGTGCAACAAAATTTCCCTCCTGCCAGATCCATCATAAATCCTCGGAAAACTCACTTCTAAAGGGCGTGCTCACTAATTCACTTAATAAGTTATCCCACTCAGACCCTGAATGCGGCGCCCCCTCCCCAAACCAACCACAACATGCGACCCTTCGTTGAATAGCTTGCGAACGCACGGTTTATCCTGATCACAACCCATTTCTGACTGAGACAAGGCCTGGGATAAGCTGGTGTGTAATAGCGTTCAATGACGAAGTTGGTGGTGGGGAGTGGCTCGAAAAAGAAAAGAAAAAACAGATGAAAAAACCGTAGATTACGCTCCGAACAAAATCCTCCTTTCATTCCACTATAGAATGTAGAAGGATTGTGTTTGAACGATTTTTTACGGAATAAGTGTTATTCTCCTCCACTTAAAAGAAGTTTTATAGGACTGGCTACAGTCATGACATTGTTTCCTTGTACGCAAATAGGTTCCAGTTCCAGTTTATTGGTGTAATCTGGGGCAGGCCCAGATCTTTCTCAACCCACAAAAACACAGCCCTCAAAGTTAGGTTTTCTGAACAATAATAATAAAAAATCCATAGCCAGTGGTTCTTTTGGATATCATTTGGATGGCAACCCATTCACTCACAATTTTACACCCAGACTGTGGTGCTGACTACATCACTCTTCGTTCTCGCAATACGCTGGCGGCCACCTACAAAGATTGGAATGGGGGGAGGTGGGCTTAACTTGGTACTACGATGCAGGCACTACAATAAATTGATAGGGCCTACTTAATTTGGTGGAGCCCACTGTACTTAACATTTTCTCGTTAAAATCGGTAACAAGCTGGAAAGCACAGCCCAGGATGAGGGAGGGCTGCAGGTTGGCTGCGTACAGCGCAAATTACTGGGACCTATCACCGGGATGGCAGGAGTAGCAGGAGGGCCTCGTTTCGGAAGAGATTTCTCATAGATGTGTCCTGACCTGCTCTAGCTCTTTTGAATCGCGGCGATTTTGCCGATGCGAATATGCGTGTGTAGGCGGCAGATCCATGCGCAATTTGCGGCCAATCTTTAATTGCCATCGAGCAATCCGTACTAAAGTAATCAGAACCGCTTAGTTAAGGATACAAATGCGAAGATCGTTGAATGATGACGGAACGTGATGTGTAGGACACGGAGCCTGGCCGTATAAGTACTACCGAAGCTTGATGATGGTTACAATTGGACTATGAGGGGTGTTCAGGGCAAAAACGCATTAGGTTGAGGCTCGCAACAACCCCTTATTTCTAACCAGCAAAGTTCACGTTCATCAATGGTACAGTAAGTTCCATCTAGGCTGTCTCATTTTTGCTAACCATCTAGAAAGAATAAAGGCCGTTACAAAATGTGAGGCTCCAAAAGCCCTATTCCAACATTTGAGAGTCCAAAAATTTGCCAGAACGGACCACAAGTTTTTCTGAAAAAGAAATGACTAAATGTTTATTTTTGGATTCTGCGATATTTCGGTGCATACACCTCTTGGCCTGAAATATTTAGATTAGTGAGTTAGTTAATATTTTGGAGAATTTGACTAACTCAAAATGACTCGCTTCTATTTTATGGGCTTACCACACTAGATCGGTTCGGAGCAACTCAGGAGGAGGAACTTCGGATATTTGAGCAGTGTTTTTCAATCACCCACTCCTGTCTTGGTCCGTCTTGTTGTCTTGTTAACAGGGATTTTTTCCAGAAGACACAATTTCAAAATCAAGAACAAATCTAGCATATATTAGCTAACCTATGATAACGGGGTCATAGTAGCTTCACTAAAATATAATTGGCGTTGATCAACCATTTCTTGGAATATACCCGCATTCGGCTTCCAGTCCGAATCATGCAAGGATATTGCTTGCGTTTCGGCCTATAAAATAACTTCTTCAATCCAGACAATACACAATTCACTGTTTTAGTCCACCAGATGAGTCTGAGACCAATCAACCATTCCAAAGGGCGAAAGGCATGGCTGATTCGGTTGGGAATCCCTTCCTGGGGTATGACTACAGCATAAGCTTTGTCAGAGCCTACGTTCCCTTCAAGCTGGCCGTATCTTATAGATAGGTAGGCATCAGACTGTGCGACTAATTGGTAGCGAATCGCTCGATACACCAGCGCAATCAGCTAGCAATCGAGCGATTCAAGACAGGTCAACCGTCACGTTGGACAAATTTCAAAAATTTTACGACCCCCCTAGGGTCAACCCTACCGTTGGTACTTTTTGGAAATTTTTCACGACCTCCCTCCACCACCATGAGACTCAGGAGGACTAGTTCACACAGCCCAACTCCACCCACAGTTCCTCCCAAATAGCCGCCGAGCAGAGTTGAGGGGGGTACATATGAAAGCCAAATTTTTTCCTTACCGCTCACAAAGCCTA